TCTCCTCAACTGGGCCAGGTTTTCTGTCCCAGGAAATAGTTATTATTAAAACCGTAAGATTATTTACTTAGTGAGTATATTTTCTTTTCCTCATTCGAGTTCTGTTTATGAAGTTTAAAATAGGTGAGCCCTCATTTTAAAAGCTACTCAGTGTAATATAACTTCAGTTTATTAGACAGATAGAGACTCCTGAGTATGAATCCAGACTTCATACCTCTCTTGTGGTGTGACTTTGAGCAAGTTTTAAAAGAGCCAAAATAAAAGTACCTACTTCAGAAGGTTGTAAGAATTAAATGAAATAATGCGTATAAATTGTAGGAACAGTACCTTGCAGATAGTATGTAACCAACCCAGTGTTTACTTTTAATTTCTGTGTGCTTTGCCCACTTTCCTCTTACCTTTTATTTGTGTTCTGTCCCAAGCAAATTTCTGCTCATTTTATAGGTAATTAAATCTTGGAGTTAATGACAGATAATAGCTACATACATTAAGTTTTCTCTGATTTTTTATTGACCTCATCAGCTTTATTATTTTAAAGTTTAATTGAAGAGTATAAAGAGGAAATTTATTACCTGTGGTGTTTTCCATCACTTTATGCAATTATGTAAATTAAAATATTCTTTTTTATCCCCAAATTATATAGATTTTATGTTTGTCCCTTTTTTCTCCCATAAAAAGTTGTCTTAAATATGTTATGCGGGGCATCTATGCTGATATTATGTCTGTAATCATTAGTGTTCAGAGGTAATTGATAAAATTAGAAGAAGCAGCAGGGTTGAAGAATGGGAAGGCAGGGAAAGAGAATTAATGAGCTTAGAAAGGAGTGAGTGGAGGGCACGTGGAACCGTCCATCATTTGCTCTGTTTGTGTCTAGCTTCTTTTGTCCAACACAGTGTAAGAAATTCTGCCTTATGTTGTATGCATTAGTAGTTGCTTTTTTCTTAATTTTAACATTATGGAGTAATGTTCTGTTGCATGAATATAACATAATTTCTTTATTCATTAATCTGTTACTCAGCGTTTGATTGTTTTTGGTTTACTGCATTATGACTATGTCTGCTATAATAATGAGTGTACAATTTTTGTCGATTTAAGTTTTCACTTCTTTTGGTAAAAACTGCTAAACTGATTTCCAAATCATTGTTATCATTTTGTCCTCCTTTTAGCAATGTACAAGGGTTTCTATCACTCCATATCATCACCAACACTTGATAGTGTCAGTTAAAAATTTATTTTAGCAATATAAAGTGGTATCTTATTATTTTTTAAAAGGTTATTTAATTTTTAAAGAGCATCTGTAGGTTTCATTTTACATTTTATTGCCTTCTGATCTTTGTTTCTGATGGTGTGCAAGCAGTCATTCTTAGTATTGTTCTCAAGTATGCATTGTCTCTTTTCCATTATCTGTTTTTGCAACTTTAAGTTTAACTTTGATATTTCTAGATGTTGTTTTCTTTCTGTTTATTCTGAGTGAAATTTGCTGAGCATCTTATTCTCTAAGACAGTTTTTTTCCCCACACATGATCTTAGCCAAAAGGCTGAGCAGAACCTTTATACACACACACACACTCTTGCTGTGCAGCATAGGCTGACCTTGACTGTGTCATACTTCTGCTTCAGTCTCCTGAGTACTGGAAATGGAGGCATTTACCATCCTGCCTGGCTGTCAGGACTTTTTTTTTTTGGTAAATAAAACCTGGGAAAATTTTGGCCCTTATCTCTTTAAATGTTTTCCTTCCGTATTCTCACTCTCTTTCATAAGTACTTCAGTTTCATTGTATTAGACAATTTGATTTTTCTTTCACAGGTTCCTAAAGTTTTTTTTTTTTGTAATCATCAGGCTTCCGCCACCCCCAGCTGTTTAGGTTAGATATTTTTCTATTAGTCTGTCATGAAATTACAGTTTCTTCAGCTGTGTCAAGTCTTCTGTTAAGCTCACTACTGATTTTCCCCCCTTTCAGTTACTAGAAATTCCACTTTGGAGTTTTCAGTGTTCTCCTTTCTTTTGATGGTATTGGGGTTTGAACTCAGAGGCTTATGCTTGGCAGGTGATCTGCCACTTGAACCACTTGGTATCCAGAACTGTTTGCCTGGGCTGGCTTTGAGCCATGATCCTTTTGATCTCTACCTCCTGAGTAGCTAGAATTACAGGCATAAGCCACTGGCACTTGGCTGTCTCCTTTTTTAAACTATCCATTTCTTGTTAAAATAATTTTCTGAGCCAGGTATGGTGGTACATATCTATAATCCCAGCACCTGGGAGGCAAAGATAGGAGGATAACAAGTTTGAGGTCAACCTGGGCTACAAAGTGAGTTCTAGATTAGCCTGGGCTATTAGACTGTCTCCCAAAACATCAAAAAATCACATACATATAGACTGTTCCAGATGGAAGGAGATAGACTTGGTATGACAACCAAGGCAATACAAGGTCCTGGATTGGATCCTGGATCTGGAAAAAGTAGCTATAAATGCAGTTGTTGTAGTACTTTATAACAATTGTCTATAAATTTTCATTAGATATATTATTGTATTAAAATTATGTGTCCTGATTTTGATAACTGTGCTGTGGTTATGAAAGACTGTCTTTGTTCTAAGGGAATATACAGTGGAATTTTTAGGGGGCATGATGTTTCTAATCTACAAAGGATCTTGAAAATAATATGCAAATCTTTCTTTCTCTCTCCTTCCCTTTCTTTCCCTGTCTCTGTCCCTGTCCCTCAGTGGGAGGATTGGGGTATGAAGGAAAGCCACATGGCATTTAGGGTTACCTTCAGAAGATGTGGTAGTATAAGTTCTTTACAAGGTGTTATGGGGGTGGGGAGGATCTGTCACCTACACCTGTCCGGCTTTGTTATTGGTGTGTGTGTGTGTGTTTGCTGTACTGAGGGATTGAACAAAAGGCCAAGTTCATGTTAGGCAAGTGCTCTACCACTTGAGCGCTTGTATTTTGTTTTTGAGCTGGTGTCTCACTAACTTTGCCCAGGCTGACCTTAAACTCGTGATCTTCCTGCCTCTGTCGCTCAAGTAGTTAGGATTGCATGTGTATACCGCCATGCCCTTAATTCCTTGTTAATAGACCCCAAAATTATTCTGTTAAGGATCTTCCCACAGAGTTAGATCACCCAGCCCTCTGTCTGTAAAGATGAGGAAGAACTGCATGATTTAGAGGCAAGAGAAGAGAAACCTTCAGATTTTTTTTCTTTGTGTAGGAAAGAGACAATGGACTCCATAGTCATAATGGTTAAAACTAATGACTATATTATGTGACTTTAATATGTAAAACTTAAAAATTTCATTTTGATATCTTGATCATGCATATCTGCTTTGTTGTTTGTATTGATTATTTTATATTTGAAACAGTAATTGAAAATTTAAAACATACTTCAAAAAATTTTGTGAAGTTATTTTGAAAATTTAAAACATACTTCAAAAAATTTTGTGAAGTTATTTTGAAAGGACATATCTAATATTTTAGAAGAGCATTTTTCTGAAGGTTATAAACTAATACTTCTGCATACCTACTTTGTGCCACATATTGTACTGAGTATGCTCACTTAAATTATTTCAGTGAAGATAATGTTGTATACCACTGAGGTAACAATAATTGTCATTAATTAGCAGAGGAAAAAATAGTGTCAGTGGGATGACTTGCTCTAATCACAACAGTTAATATGTGCTGGGATTAAGTTAGAGTTAGAAATGAAGTCTGTCTATCTCCAATGTACATATTCTTTAAAATTGTAAGATAACAGATGGCCAAATATTTTTGCAATCAAAATTATCAGTTTTATGTTGCTCTTAAAACCCATTGCTGCTATTATTTTAATTCTAGTATGCACTCATTATCTGCCAGCATTGATTACATTTTTGCTGCCTTTGTTCAGGATGCTGTTGCATTTGGTGTTGGTTTGGGAGAAAAGGAGTTGTTAAGAAATGCTTGACAGGAGATGAAGTCACTGCCTTGAGAGAATCAAGGTTATGATTCCAGGAAGGAGACCTTGGAAGCTGATGAGACAGTTGTACATTTGTCAGTAATTTGATACTCAGTCTCAAATCATCAACATTTCAATACATAGGTTAATAAGAGTATTTTGAAATGAGCATGTAGATGCGCACAAAGGAAAATAAAGGTTGGAAGAGACCTACTAAAGTGAAAAATAATAAAATCTAGGGTGCTGTGTGGATTTCAACATAAAAGCAGAATAATTCTATAAAATGACTTTCTGGGGGAGGGGTAGAAAGGAGGAGAGGGAATACTGAAGAATCTGTACCTAGTATATTGTAAGCTTTGCCAACCAAGTGAAATTTATTTTAAAGAGTTTTAGTTAGGTTGGAAATAATTGAAAGAATGTATAGTCAGCATATTGGTATATGTAATGTGATTGCTAAACCTGTGACCACAGGTACAAGGTAAAAGTGGAACATGATATTTGCTTTTATAGAGGATGTTAGTTTACTTTTTTCTCTTTTGGTGGTAACTGGGGTTGGCACTCAAGGCCTTGCATTTGCTAGGTAAGCCCTCTACCACTTGAGTCACACCCCTAGTCCTTTCTTGCTTTAGTTTATTTCTTAGATAGGGTGTCTTGCTTTTGCTCAGGTTGGCAAAACCTTGGATCTCCATTCTCCTACCTTCACCTCCCATGTAGCTGGAATTATAGGTGTGAGCCATCATGCCTAGCTAATTTTTTTAAAAAAATATATAGAATGCTTCATGAATTTGCTTGTCAACCTTGTGCAGACGCTATGCTAATATTCTCTTTATCATTATAATTTTAGTATATGTGCTGTTGAAGTGAGCACCCAGCTCATTTTTTGAGATAGACTCTCACTAAATTTTGCCCAGGCTGTCTGCAAATCATTATCCTTGTACCTGTCTCCTGTTTAGCTGGAATTACAGGCATGAACCACTATGCCTGGTCCTGAAAGTGATATTTTAATTGTGTATTTTTTCCAAAGGGAAGAGTAAATTAGTAATACTTTAAAAATTTTTTTCTTGAAGCTGGACATGAAAACAAAAATGATGGAAGCAAAATTTCATGAAGAAAAGCTTAAGTTACAACAGAAACATGATGCTGATGTCCAGAAGGTAAGCTCTGTATTACTCATTTTTATTGAATATATAAATTTTCTAGATGTGATGATTCATGCATCTGTCCATCTATGAGATCACTTTATGATGCTTTATAATATATAAATGAAATTTGCTAAAGTAACATCCCTGCAAAAGTTGATTTGTAATCTTCATTTATAAAATGTGTCATATTTCAAACCTTATTTTTATGTTAACTTTTAGTTCTTCAACTATTCAGAGCTGGATTTTTCATAGCTTTTTTATTTTCATTCTCTCATTACCTTTTATGACATTTGAAATGTTGCATCAACTATAACTACAAGAGTTTTTTTAATCCTAATAGTCTTTCAATTTTCTGATAATTATAGTTTTCTTTTTAATTAGTTAATTGGTTTGAGATAGGGGTCATACTGTATTTCTCAGGCAGGTCTTGAACTTGCCACCCTCCCATATCAGCCCCCCAAACAGCCGGGATTATAGGCTTCAACTACCACACCTGGCTCTTCTTTTTAATTTGAAAAGACTCCATGGATTTAGTGCTGTTTGGTAAAACTACATGTGTTGTGAAACTTGCACTGACAATGAAGGCTACATTTTTGAATAGCTCGTGGAGATTTATGCTTTCCAGTCTTTCAGTATTTTCAAATAAAATTTGATTTTCCTTTAGAGACTCAGCAAAAGTCTTCAATGTTTGGTGATGCTACATGAAATTTGAGTTGGTAATTATATTTTAGTAACAATTAAAAATTTTAGTGATAATATATTTGTGTTTTTGTTTTTGTTTTGATTAGTGATTGAAACCAGGGCCTTGTGCATGCTAGGCAAGTGCTCTACTTGAGCTGTACTCCTAGATCATGTGTGTATTTTAAATACATAAGGTTGTTCCAAATGGAAAGGTTGTATATATTGTTTCAAAACTAAGCCTATGATTCTGCTTATCAAACTGAGTAATAGAGACAGAGGTGGAGTTGGGCATGGTGCATATACCTTCAATCTGGAACTCACAAGGCTGAGTCAGGAGAATCTCAAGTTCCTGGGTTATAGAGGGAGACCCTTTCCAGAACAGAACAAATCAGAGACAAGAGGCAGGTGGTTGAGGGAACAGCATCATATACACATGCTTTCTCAGAAGCAGAAAATCTATTAGTAGTCAGATTCACATTGGACTCTACTTCCAAGAAGGAAACCACTGAGTGCATATTAGAAAGATGAAAATATTTAATTTTTTATTTTTATGTGGGACTGGGGTTTGAAGTCATGGCTTCATGCTTGCAACACAGGTGCTCTGCTGCTTTGTTCCAGTCCATTTTGCTCTGGTTATTTTGGATATGGGGGTTCTCAAACTGTTTGCCCTGGCTGGCCTGTAACCGCAATCCTTCTGATCTCAGCCTCCCAAGTAGCTAGGATTACAGGCATGATAAAAAAAAATAATTTAATACTTTTCCTTTCTGGTTTGCTTCATTGAAACGTTAAAAGCAAATAATACTTTTTGGTCTTATTAGAATTTTACATTAGCTTAAATTGTTTAGATAAAACATTTTCCTATTGTAAATTTGTTTGAGTCAGTAATACAATTTTAATATATTATATCCAAATGAGACAGAATCTATTGATATATAAGATACTGATGTATAAGATAAATGAATTTTAAAGATGCAGTTGGGATAATCAGTGATAGGAGTTTGAAATAGGCTCCGTAATTTGTTTGTTATAAAGATCTATTCTAAGAAAACAGTTAATCATAGAATTATTTCTAGGAAGTTCTCTTTTAAAAGAAATTCTATGTGAAGAAGAAGGCAGTGTAACTAATTTGAAGTACCAAGGTAAAACATAGATGAAATCCTTGACCGTATGCCAGATTTGGAAAGTATATTCATCAATTTGTTGCTTATGGCATTTTCTAAATCTCAGGAATGGGAGAGGAATAAATTTTAGACTGTTTTATTTATACATTTCCTTCCTTCCTTTTTTCTTCTTCATGGAAATTAGGGTCAAACTTGCTCTAAAAAAATTACCTTAGAGGTGAGATGCAGATAAGGAGAGGTAAAATAAAATGCTGGTAATAAGAACACTAAGAAAAAATTAGTTGGTGAACAACCTTTTCTTTTTACCTGATTTTGGGTGTATAGGAAATATAGCTCTACCATTAGAAAAGTGAATGTTCCTGCTCCTGCCTCAGTTTGGTTTTCTTTTTGCTCCTGTGAACCATTTTCTCCTGTTTGCCATCTTTCTTGAATTTTGGTTACTTTGGATTTTTTTAGGTATAAATATATTTTGAAGTATATAATCATTAAATTTAAAGCCTCTGGTACAATATAAATCAATTATGTAAATTTTAATGCAACTTGTGGTATATTTTGAGCTAATTTTTTTCTAGTTCACAATAGCACAGCTAGATATAAAGGGAGCCTATTACATGTCATCTTCCCATGTATCTAGGAATTTCTGTCATTGTGCAGTAAAATGGTGAAAGAACACTTGTGGAGGATTCACGGACATGCTTAGTGAAAGATTCTATCCCATTGCAGTGGAATGAATTATACTATTCCAGTATGTCAAGTTTCTGATGGCTTCTCTCTGCCATTTTATGACAGTTTAATTTCTGAATTATATTTAAGGAAATCACTTAATTATTTATGCTGTCCTTAAAAATTGATACATGAAAATTCCGTACATATTGATAGGTGAAAATCCCAAACATATAACATATTTAAAATAAATTATTCTAGTATATTTAATAATTTCCCCAGTGTACTATAAGATACCTTTTACAATTTTGGGAGGAAATCATTTATGAGATTGACTAAGATAGACTTGCAAAATACATTGTGCTCATTTGAAAAGTTGTGTATTCTAAACTTAATTCATTATACTAAAGAATTTTACATTCATTTGTAGATTTTAGAAAGAAAGAATAATGAAATAGAAGAACTGAAAATTTTATACAAAAAGAAACAAAATGAAACAGATGAAATTATAAGAAAGCTTGAAAAGAAAGGTGAAATTTGAATTTTCATTATATAATCCTTTTAAAAATATTTTCATTTCATTTTAGTAATTGTAAAATTTAATTTCTGATCATTCGTGAGTTTTAATCAATGGATGAAATTAGAGTGGGCTTTCATGTGACTGGGTAAAATGGTGTGTGAGTGTGTATGTATGTGAATGCAACAGCTATTATTGTGATTGACAGAACAACTTAAAAAGTGTTTAAGTATTCATTTAGAAGGAAAAGAAATTCTAGCTATTCAGGAGATGGAATTGCAGTTTGAGAACAGCCCCAGCAAAAGTCAGGAAGATCCTGTATCAGCCGATAGCTGGCTGCAGTGTCTCATACCTGTCATCTCAACTAATTAGGAAGCATAAACAGGAAGATCGAGTCTAGAATGGCAAGGGCAAAAACGTGACACTGTATTGAAAAATAACTAGAAGCAAAAAGGGCTGAGCATGTGGCTCAAGTGGTAAAATGCCTGCAGAGTGCAAAGTCCTGAGTTCAATCCCCCCAGTACCACCAAAAAAAAAAAAAAAAGGAAAAGAAAGCATGTATTCAATTATCAAATTGTCTATGACTATGGGGTCAAAATATCAAGATCAACAGGCAAATCATGGGTAGGAATGTTAAATTTTGGAGAAAACAACCTTTGTAAGACTTTTTATAAGTTTGGTAAGCTTTAATTAGTTGGAGAGAAGAGTTCCCAGTATTGGGATAGGAATGCTAAAATGTTAAATTATGGGAAGGATGCTGCAAACCTACTTAGCTAAATTTGATAACCTATGCATTAAGAGATAGATTTAAAAACATTAAGATAGTTGACTAGGGACTGAATTAAGCATGACTTTGTATTTCAGATTTACAACTTTGAGCTTAAGGAGAGAGGGAGCAATCCACTCATTCAAAAGTAGCCCAGTTCTGTTACTAATTGTCTGATATATGACATTAGGAAGTTGTTGGGTGTTGGTTTACTCATTATAAAATGATGAGGTTAGAATAAAGATTATGTAAGGTGCTTTCCAACTCAAAGATATTTATGATTTTGTACTTCTATAATTTTTTTGATTTTTCAGTACTGGTGATAAAAATCCCAGTCCTCATATATGCTAGGCAAGCACTCTACCACTGAGCTGCATTCCCAGACAGTAGTATTATGTTTATGCATGTGGGCATGGGGGGAACATCTGTAATTTTGCACATAAAGTGATAAGGACCCATAGTATCTGAGCGATGGCAGTAGGAGTAGTGAGAATGGAACTGAAGAAGAAATTCTGAGCAGTGAATGAGGATTTGGTGAACAAAAAGATAAAGGCAATGCATAAAAGCAAAAGTTTTCATTTAGAAAACCTTCCAGAGCTACTGTATCTCCCCCAGATCAAACCTAAATGTGTTTGAGTGCATGGTGACTCCCCTTGACAATTTAGGATGTCAATTACATGTGTAAGTTAATCAATAAAATAGATATTTTTACATTAATTTCCATCATTAAAGTAATTAGAAATTTCTTCAGGTTTTTTCTTCCAAATACTTTCAGTGACTAAAAAAATAGTTAAAATTTATTTCCAGGTTTTCTTTCTTACCCTGTTTCAAACATGCCTAAGGTAAAAAAATACCCAAGCTTTTAAAAGTAATGTTTTTTAGCCAGATGTGGTAGAACAGATCTGCATTCCCAGCATTCAGGAGACTGAAGCAGGAGGATTGTTGAGTTTGAGGCCAGCCTGGATTACATAGTAATACTGTCTCAAAAAACCACTCCCCGCCAAAAAGTTTCTTAAGGCTTTTGAGTTACACCCAGATCTTAGTTTAAAGTTGGAATTATAAAACATTTTATATATGCTAATGACCAATATTAAGTTACATTCTTCTCTGCCCCTTATTTGTTGCATAGTTGAGATATGAGTGAAAGAAATTTCTAAGAAAATGTTTCTGAAAATTCTGCTCTCTTAAAGGAAGTGAATTAAAATATATTCATTAAGTTTGGAAAGTATTACGTTGAAGTAAACTACAAGCTGAATTTATTTTATCATCCATATGACACAGATACATTAAATTTTCACTTAAATCAGTTTAAATAATTTTTTGAAAGTTGGTAAAAATATAAATGGTGTATATGGGAAATGCATAGTTTAAGACCTATTTCTATTTTAGTAACATAAATCTTAAAAATTATTTTAAAGTATCTAGGAACAACAATATATTGAAATGATGGATGCCTTTATTTATTCCCTCAGCACACATCTTTTGAGAACTTGCCTGTGTGGCGTTGTTATGACCTATAGATAAAAAGCTCAAGTTGATCTATCTTTCTCCTCATTGAAAATAATCTTATTAAGGAGGAAATAGGGAAATAAACTGTTATGATGTCTTAGGTGACTGAATGGAGAAATATGCATGGTTAAATGGAAATAAGGAGAAGTTTATGTCCATGCAAGGGGAGGAGTCTGGTTGGTGAATGGTTCATAAGGAAGGTGATACTTGATTTGAGACTTAAGGATGAATAGGAATTTTGCAAGGGAGGGAAGGGCATTCCAGGTAGATAGGTTATCATGTTTGGTAGTCATACATAAAAGAACATGTTCTCAGGAATTTGCGGTTACAATTCAGGTTTAAGATGTGGAAGAGACAAACAATAGCGCCAGAGAATAGCTGGATCATGAGGAGCTACTTTCCTGTTAGAGGCTTTTGTCCTTTGTCCTTTAAGCAAGGAGAACTATTAGAATGATTTTTGGCCTGGAAGTAACATTACTGAATTTGCCTTATTGAAAGGTTTCTTTAAAGTGATAGACTAACCATCAGAGGGGGATGGTTCTTGAGGCCAACACACTATTAAAAATTTTCTAGAGTGAGAGTAAAGATGAAATCAGCCAAGGCTGTGTATGATGATAGAAATGGGGAAAAGAGGGCTGAAGGTGTGGCTCAAGTGGTAGAGTGCCTGCCTAGCAAGCGTGAGGTACTGAGTTCAAACTCCAGAACCATGAAAAGAAAGAAAGAAAGAAAGGGAGGGAGGGAGGGTGGGAGGGAAGGAGGGAGGGAGGGAAAGAAAGAAAGCCTTTGGCTTATTAACAAAAAGAAATGGAGAAAAAGAGTAAAGAGTAAGATGTTTAGGAAGAGACAATTAAGACTTGGTAAAACTGAATTATATTTATTAATCAGTATACTGTGTTTTCTATCATGAAACACTTATGTGTTTTATAGAATTGGCTTAACTATGCTTTCATCATTTTTGACAGTTCAGACTCTTATACGTGACTGTCAAGTTATCAGGGAGACTAAAGAAAACCAGATTACAGAGCTCAAAAAGATATGTGAACAAAGTGCAGAATCTCTGAATAATGATTGGGAAAAAAAGGTACGTTTCCAAAAGTAATAATGAAAATACAAAAATATATGCTTCAGAGCAACATATTCAAGTATAAAAGTAATGAATTTTGCAGAATGTACCAAAAAGTACAAAAAAAAAAAGAAAAAGTAATTTAAAATTCTAGATTAAGTAGAAAGAAATGGCTACTGTATTCATGATTTGGTATATTTTCTTCTAGAACTCTGTGGTCTATAAAATTGCTTTCATTTAGAAAATGTACCAAATGGTAAATGTACCATTTAGTTAATGGTCTGGTTTTTTGTCATAGCCAAACAGGTTTTAAGCAAAATTAGTAGGGAAATAGCAATTTTAATTTTTTATTTGGGCTATTTCTTTCCTGAAATTTTAGGCAACACAGTGTAATCCAGGCTAGAGTTTATAGTAGCAACTTGTTTTGATTTGAAATCACTAGTGAATGGATTATACTTCCATGCATGTGAGAAACACTGAGATGTTGGTGTTATGGGCTTGGTGATGGTCTTGTACTACCTAAAGAACTCACTTTATTTATTTATTTATTTATTTATTTATTTTATTCATATGTGCATACAATGTTTGGGTCATTTCTCCCCCCTTTCCCCACCCCCTCCTTTAACCTCCCCATCCCTGCTCCCTCCCTTACCCCCCAACCCCTTGCTACCAGACAGAAACTATTTTGCCCTTATCTCTAATTTTGTTGACGAGAGAGTATAAGCAATAATAGGAAGGAACAAGGGTTTTTGCTAGTTGAGATAAGGATAGCTATACAGGGAGTTGACTCACATTGATTTCTAAGTTAATTCTTAGAAATTCTTCTAAGTTAATTCTTCTTGAACTAACCTTTTCTCTAGTTCCTGGTCCCCTTCTCCTATTGGCCTCAGTTGCTTTAAAGTATCTGCTTTAGTTTCTCTGCGTTGAGGGCAACAAATGCTATCTAGTTTTTTGGGTGTCTTACCTATCCTCATACCTCCCTTGTGTTCTCTCGCTTTATCATGTGATCAAAGTCCAATCCCCTTGTGTTTGCCCTTGATCTACTGTCTGAATATGAGGGAGAACATATGATTTTTGGTCTTTTGGGCCAGGCTAACCTCACTCAGAATGATGAATTACTTTTGAATTCTAGAAATGACACTAATTTAAAATGTATACTCCAGCAAAAAAGAGAAATTAAACATATCAGGGATTTGGGGGACCACATGAAATAGTAAAAACTACATGTGCTAAATTTTTGAAACTTAAGGCTCTTCTCTATGGCTGGTACTGAGCCATCCTCACTCTAGAAAGTACATTTCTAATTCATTCTTGGAACCCTTTCTAGTATTATTACTGAAATCGTTGCCTGCGTTCTGCCTTCAATTCTCATCATTTCTCAGCTTTTCCTGTTTTTCTAGTACTTTCTTAGTCAAATAAGACTTCACACTGATTTTTGTCATGTCCTTTCTTCTCTCCTTATTCATGGATAATGAGTCAAATATATTAGTTAGACTGTTTTGGACTCCTGCTCTCCTCATCAAGTAAGAAGTGTTAGACTTGGGGAATAGGAGTTAGAATTACATGCCCATTAAGATAAATGAATGAATGCCCATATGGTCAAGAGCACAGATTTTCAGCCCCCTTCAGAAGCCCATTGGTTGCCCCATTGATTGGGTACTAGTGGCTCATACCTGTAATCCTAGCTCCTTGGGAGACTGAGATTGAGAGGATTGTGATTTGAGGCCAGTCCAGGCAAATTGTCCACAAGACCCCATCTCCAAAATAACCAGAGCAAAATGGACTGGAGGTGTGGCTCAAGTGGTAGAGCACCTGCTTTGTAAACACTAAGCCCTGAGTTCAAACCCCAGTCTAACAAAAAAAAAAAAAAGAAAGAAAAAGAAGCTATCCATCGAACTTTGTTTGGGCCTCCTATATTTGCCTTTGTTTTCCTTACCTTAATTTAAATGGATATTTAAAGCTTTATCCACTTAAAGAGCATATGCCTAATAGTCTTTATCAACAAAATCCTTTGAACGTGATACATAGGGTCCTTAGTCTTCCTGCTCATTATCTACTTGATTTATAAATACAATTTTTGAGTTTGTGTATCAACGATGGAAATTAAAATTAGTTTCTTATTGGGGGTTTGTTTAGGGGAAAACATTTTTACATTAATATTGCACAAAATTTTATATAAAAATGAATAATAGGCAGTAAAATAATATTTCTAATCAATAATATAAATATTTCTGTTTTTCTGATTTCAGATTGATATTAATGTGTAATGGACACATTGCATTATCTGTCTCACTTACTTGCTATTTCTACCTTAGATGGTAGTTTCCTTTAATATTTGCTCATCCATTAAAATTTTCAATTCAGGAGAGCCAAGAAAAAATTGTGTTTTGTAATCATACTCTTCTGCAGTGTGGTGTTGAACCCAGGCCTTGTGCATGTTAAGTGAGAGCTGTACTACTGAGCTACATCCCCAGCCTAATAGTGCTCATTATATGATATCTTTACTTAGGTTTACTTGTGTGGATTTTATAATTTTTGTTGTTAGGTCAATATATAGATATAAACAGAAATATTGAAAAGCCTTTTTTCTGAATTATGAAATAGTCTGTTCCACAATAGTGAAAGTCTTGACTTTATGGTATAGCTCCACAATGCAGTAGCAGAAATGGAAAAGGAAAAATTTGATCTTCAAAAGCGACACACTGAGAACATTCAAGAATTGCTTGAGGACACAAATGCACGTCTGAATAAAATGGAGGGGGAATACATGGCACAAACACAGTCTACAGTAAGTCTTGTTTCTTTTCTTACTTCTTAGAAATCATCTTCTCATAGTCTATGTCCTCATGCTTCACTGTATATAAATGTGTAACTGAACTAAAAGGAAGGAAGGAAGAAATGTGTAACTGAGCTAAAAGAAAAAGCTTTACTTTCCTACTTGATACAGATTTATATATGATAATGGGCAGTCCTTGAAGTTTGCCCAGAAGTTTGACTGGATTATTTAATTCCATTGGCATTTTTTTAAACTCTCAGAAGCCTTTATAAATATCTCTTCTTTTTTTAAATTGACTTTTAGTTCAGAGATAATTTTTTTCTTTTTAAAACTTTTTTGTACTGAAGATTTGATTGTTTTCTGGAAGTATTTAATGCTGGTGTCAAGGACATCACAAAGGAAGATAGTAATGTGACTACTCTGACAAGTTTCCTTAGTAGATCATCTTGATTTAGGGACCATACACACAGCACTTGAGTAAACCCAGTAAGTTTCCTTTTCTGAAAGAATGCAGAAAGAAGTTACACAGCACAGAGGCCCCAAAGTGAGATTGAAAATCCCCAAAGAACCTCCTCATTGAGCACATTGTTGTAGAGTATAGGTCAGAAGGAGCTAATGTCTTCAGCCTGTGGAAGCTCACTTGACTTCCTCAAATGCATAAGACTAGAAGAATTCTGCAGGTAGGCTAATGTGCGGATTAGGCAGCTCATATCCAATGCAAGTGCACCTCTTCAATCTTGTTATAGGTATATAATATGACATTATATAATGGTCCAGTGTTGTATGTCAGGCATGAACCCAACCCTCATTTTACCATTCCCAGCTCTCCCAGACAGCCTGGCTTAGTCCAAATACTTTCTTGAGTTTAAAGGTATGGAATGTAAACAAGAGTCAGTTACTTAAGCATATTGTAGATATTTCTTAGAGCCAGTTACCCATAATCCTTAGTCCAACAAGCACCAAAGCCGACCTTATAGGGGAAAAGAAATGAGAAGTGGTATGCACAGTGGTTTGGAAACTAGATTTGAGTGACAGTCTTGGTTTAGATCTCAAATTCTTGATAATTTAGATGTCATGTTAACTCTTCAAATGTTAACTTCATTACTGTGGCATAGGATAACAGTGGCACAATGTACTATAAGTTACTGAAAATATTAAATAGATATACATAAATTATTATAGCAAGCAGTCAATATATAATTGTTTATATTGTCCTTTTTGTTTTTGGTGGTGATAACTGGTTTGAACTCAAGGCCTTACACTTTACCACGTGAGCCACACCTCTAGACCTAGTTTTGTCTTTGAAAATACAGTATTTGAGAATGGAGACATATAAGTGAAAAAGACTTATTTTAAGAAGTTAATCAACATTTGCTTAAGGATAGAGTTTTGGCATCCATTTCCTCCCTTAAAAAAGACAGGACAGGGATAAGAAAGGCAGAAATGCAGATAGGCAATAAGATTGGGAGAGTAATGTAATTTTTGGAGTGGGAAAGGCAATGGATGAGTTGAAACTCATCTAACAGGTTCAAGAAAGCAAAACCTTAAATAAACAGGGAAGAACTCTGGGAAGCAAAGCTGAATTACACTGTGGGACCTGTGAAGGTCCAGGCATCTCTACAGGGGAAGGTAAGGTACAAATGTGCATCAATAGGAGGATTGCTAGGGCTGTGAGGGTGATGTGTGCAAGGAGGTTTATTGTGTGTTTGAAATGTTTACTAATGCAAGTTGTAAAAATGATAAACAAAAAATTTACTAGATCTTGCATGCTGTTCCTCATTTTGTAAAGCATGGGGTGGTCTGTCTGTTGCCTCAGCTGTACACATTAGGTTATTTTCGGGAGAAAGTAAACAATCTCTGGTTCAGGAGGTCTCAGACACTGTTGAGAGTTCTACTGCAGCAGTTTGCAAAGTGTTGTTAACAGACCTCTTGGAGTCCTTGAGACCCTTTAGAGTCCTTTTAGTGGCCAGATTGTCAACCACTGCTGCCCCATGTCTCAAATTAAAATTATAAAAAATTAAGTTGCTTATAAGGGCAAAAATATTAAGATGTCTTCATATTTCTTCATTCAGTATTCAATGCCATAAGAGAGTGGAGCCTTACCTAGTAGGGCTTATCTCTACTATAGAGATAAGCATTTGAAAAAATGTGCCCCAAATGCTTATCAGTTATATTTTCTATCTCCTTGTATTTTCTTCCTGTTCTTTACTCTACAATAGATTCCCACTTGATCTCACTCTCATTAATTAATTCTATAGTATATTTTCTCCTTATTGGATGTATTACAACTTTTATTTCAACTATTATTTTTTCTCATACCTAGTATTTTCATTTGACTAAAAAAAAAAAAAAAACCCAAACAATTTCTTGTTGTTTGAATTGTTAATATCTCCTTAAATGTATTTAGTAGATTTGGTCTATTAATTCTAATGATTTATCTTCAGAATATTATAAATTATAATATGCTTTGTGTTATGAATAGTAATATGATATATATTTATTTATAGATATACAAGTATTGATGACTTTCTTTTACAATAGTTCTCTACAGGTATCTAGTTATTTTGGACCATTAGCCAAGTCCCTGGAGTTTATAATTTACTCCTCTGTGTATTTGTGAACAGCTAGAATATCAGGTTCTTGTATTGATCAATTAAAATTTGTTTTAAGTGGTAGGGAGAGGGTCTCCGAGTAGAGACCCCCCAAAAGCCCAGGATCAATGTTGAACACCCACTGGTGACTTCTAGTTTGTAATAGGCAAGTCTCCCTGACCCTAAGGGAAATACAACTTTGGAGACAGACAGTCTCCTTAGATTTTAATAGTCAGCTGCTAAGGAAGTTCTTAATAGTCAAATTGATCTACTAGTGCTTTTTATAACTGGTGCTTTTTCTGTTTGTTTTTTTTGGTTTTGAGACAGGATCTTGCTATCTTGCCCATCGTTCAGGCTGGTCTGGACCTTGCTGTGTAGCCCAGGCTAGCCATGAAATCAAGATCCTCTTGCATTAGCTTTTCGAGTACAACCACACTTGGCTTACCTTTTTATGTCTTGTTTACCAAGTGCAAAAAGGTTCACCTGTATATTCTAAAAGTTTTTGTTTTGTATATATATATAAGCTTTAATCACTCTGATGTTTTTTTACAACTAGCATAAGATAGATATCTATTTCCATTATTTTTATGTGAATGATTACTTTTTCCTCCAGTTTTACTTTTGAGTAGTTCTTCCTTTCTTTATTGATCTGTCATGGCCATTGTCATAAATTAAACTTCAGTTATCAATGAAGGTTTCTATTCTAGTTGGTTTGCTGAATTCTCTGGCTCTGCCAGTATTATACTGTCATCCATAAGTACAGATCATAATTATTCTTGATATCTTCAGGGAGGTCTTTCTTCTTTGTCCATCATATTTGTCTTGGGTACTCTGAGCTCTTTCCTTTAATGGATACATTTAGAATTAGCTTATCAAGCTAATAAGGAAACAAAAGTCTCAGAACATCTTTTCTTTAGAAAACTCTTGTAATATTTATTTCTCATACTTTGCTGTATAAGAGACTCAAGAATAAACAGTTTTCCCCAGCTCATCCTCCCAAGTAGCTAGTAAGCCACTAAGGCCTGGCTTAGAGAATTACTTTATTTTGTTGTTCTCTCAGGCTTGTGTGTGTGTGTGTGTGTGTGTGTGTGTGTTTGGTGGGTGTCTTGTTTTGTTTTATGGCCATTTTTTGTAAACAGGCACTTGTTTAGGTTGGTTGGTCAATTTGTGTTTGTTGGTGTTGGCAGGAGTTTTCTTATAGGAGAATCATATTCTAAAACATAGAAACACTCGATTTTTTAAAACAAATACTAGAACATATAATTTAAATCAAAATTTTTAGGGATTTTTCCTCTTTAATTACCAATATTGGTAAGTTGTATATTCTCCATTTTTTTTTTAGCAGGGTTTGCTATTGGTACACCAATTTCCAAGTATTTGGGGATTTTCTGGTGTCTTTTTGTTTTTGCTTATAAGAATTCCTTGGGTTAATTTTTTTTTAGAAATTAATGTTTAAACTTTGTTACATTTGTTACGTAGGCTATACCTTTTGTTTTTCCTTGTGTCATTAAGTCTTTAATTTCCTATAATATTTTGGTGGAGGCAAGATTTTCTTTTTTTGGTCTCTTGAAGTATACTCATTATATCAAAATCCTAAAACCACTTTCTCTTAAATTTTGGGGGCTGGCAATATGAGATTGCAGTTTCAGTGAAAAAAAAATTTTTTTTGTCAGCACTGGTGTTTGAATTCAGGGTCTCATGCTTGTTATGCAGGCACTCTTACCACTTGAGCCATGTGTCCAGCCCTAGTTTTTGTAATTTTTTTAACCAAGTCATTCAACACAGGAAGTTTGATCTTTTTAATAAATTGGTCAATCGGATACTGAAAAAGCTTCTCGAACATTCATATCACTTAATAAAATAATCTAAGGAACAGCTCTTATTTAAACATGGAGATAAAAAATAAATATATTCTTGGTCTGGATTAATCAAAGTTCTTAAGAAGGAAATAGAAACATTCACCATAAGGAAAAATACTGATAAACCAGAATATATCAAAATTAATACCTTTTATTCACTAATGGATATTGTTAAAAGGCAATTTAGAGTGGAAGAAAATATATGTAATTCCTTTATCCAATATAGACTTTACATCATAATTATATAAGGAATTCCTACAAATCAACAAGAAAAAGAAAAGCAAAACTAACGATCAATAGATTTGATAAGGTGCTACACAAAAGACAATATCCAAATGATTAGTAAGTATTTCAGAAAATGTTCAAAACATTAAATCTTAAGAAATTTTAAATAAGTTCCCACATACCCATAAGAATGCTTAAATTTAACAAAAACAAAGTCTCATCACCAAGTTTTCTCAAGATGCATGATAGAATTCTCATGTGCTGCTGTAGTGAGTTTAAATTTTATATCCAGTTTTTAAAACTTTTTGGTAGTAACTACTAAAGCTTACCTATGTGC